CGGCGCCAGTCGAAATTGTGCATTATCGCCTCTGGAAATAGTGGTGATTTGAGCCTGGTCTGGCGATCACTTACCGCAACAGCCACTGTGTGCCCCCCCCCCCCCACCTCATCCCCTACCCCACTCTGCCCTCCCCTCCCTCTGCCCCGTCAACTCGCCCCCTCCATGCCCAACACCGCCACCAATGACAAAGAACCCCGTATAACCTTAACAGGCTGTTGGGGCAAGTGCTGTTTTGTTGAGTAGTACCTATGAAGGCCGGCACTGTGGTCACACGACGAGGTGGGTGGCGAGCAGCACAAAGACAAAAACCCCAACGGCGTCAACATCACTACGGCTCCCTGAGTCTAAACTCCCCAGGGGTCTTCAACCAAAGTAACCAAAAAGAGGCATTTCGTTTCGAATTCGGTAAAACTAAAACACAAAAAAACGACTCTAATTCATGAGCCCTAACGCACTGTGGGTGAATACGAGCTGGTGGTCCTTATTTAATAACACATCACGAAGCAGCGGTCCTTAAAGAGCCGCATGCGGCTCCGGAGCCACGGCTGGTCGACCCCTGGGCCAACCCCAGCGGCCACCCTGCGAGTCAGCGCTAGAGACCTCTAACCCTGCCTTGATCAAGGCTATGAACTCCGATGGTGCTCCAGGGTGGGGAGGGGGAGGCGAGAGGCGAGGGCAGAGGGGTAGAGTGGATAGTGGGAGAGGAGTGGGGAGGGGGGATGCGGAGTGGTTGGTGGTGGTGGTGGTTGTATAGGGCGGTATGGTTTGCAGGGTGTTTGAATCGCGCAATAGCTAAAGACCCCACACGCATCTGTTCAGCAGGTGCGCATGCCTGTGTGTGTCCGTGTGTGTGTGTGTGTCCGTGTGCGTGTCCGTGTGTTTGGGAGCAGTGGGGGAAGTGGTTAGCACGCTGTGCTACAAAATCGCCGACCCGAGTTCGATTCCCGCTCATGGCCAACACCGGTGACGATTATCTAAACCGATCCTGGGCCTCCCCTAGATCGATTCAGTCTCAAATGAGTCCCATGGAGCGGTGCGTATACATCGCTACTCGGGAGACAAAAGCGGCCGGGCATGGTGCTAGCCACTCACTCCCTCGTGTGCTGTGCCAGCCTTCATAGGTGCTCTCTAATGGCACTTGCCCCCTACCATGTGTCAATGTTGGCTACGTGGGGAGTGGGGAGCGGAGTGGGGAGCGGAGTGGGGAGTGGTGGCACAGTGGCTATCTACGAACCCAGCAATCTGAGTTAGATTACCGATCACGACCAAAATTAAGTTCGGCAGTGATATTTTAACCGGGTTTGGCCCTCCACGAGGTCAACTAAACCTGACACCATTACCTGGTCGAGAAATACAAGCGGCCGGGCGTGGTTCTGACCACACCACTGCCTCGTACTCCACTCCGTCATAAATGCGCGCTCAGTCACAGCATCTGCCCCCACTATTCGATGTAGACTGCACACAGGACAAAGATTACCCGCAAAGCCACACACACACACACGCACGCACGTAAACGCTCGCACACACACACACAGAGAACCATGCACACGCAGTCACGCGTACAATTACGCATACGCGGCAAGGCACACATGGAGTAACTCACACAGCGACCCAATGTAGCCTTTCACAGACTGTTGGGGAAAGTGCTGTTAGCGAGCACCGATAAAGGCCAGAACGGCACACGAGGGGGTGGCCAGCACCACGCCCGGCCGCCTTTGTCTCCCCAGTGGCGATGTTTACAGATCCCACTAGGTACTCTTGTGAGGCTGAGTCGACCTCGAGGAGGCCCAGGACAGGTTCAGATAATAGTCACTGGTGTTGGTGGCCATGGGCAGGAATCGAACTCGGGTGGCCGGGTTCGTAGCGCCCTACTGCTCTCCCAAACATAATCAACCACACATCAAACGTTAACTCTCCTCGCCTCTCCCCTCTCCCCTAACCTCCTCCTCCATCCTCTACCGCTCGCGGTGCCTTACACTTGTTCATTATCAGCGTCAGCGAGCAGGCAATGTCGTTCCGCTAGCGGCAGCAGCAGCAGCTAGCCAGTAGCAGCCAGTAGAAGCAGTAGCCCAAACATAGTCCCATCACATTCGGTTTCACGTGGCTCAAACTGAAACTGCCACCATCACCCAAAGCACTCAGCTCCCCCCCCTCCACCCAACAAACACCCCCCCCCCTCTCAATCGGATGCTCTTGCCGGTCGTGTCGGTCCCTTGTAGCGGTCCCGCGCCACCGAGGAGCCGCGTGTCCCGTGTACTCCCGTCTCGCCGGAGATGGGCAAGGTTATTGCCTTTGACACCGGCGAAATGGTTCCTAGCTGCGTGTGCGCGCGACTGTGACGGTAACGAATTTGCTAACCGAGTGCGGCGCGTGGGGGTGAGGTGAGGGGGGGGGGGGGGTTTGGGTGATGGGATGTGGGGGGGGGTGAAGGTAGGGGGTGGTGGGTGGAGAGATGATGATGGAGGTAGGGTTCGATACGGGACGGTGTTGGGGTATTCAGACGACCCGTTCGGAGACTACGCAGGTATCTTTGAACGAACGTAGAACCTCATAGATTGATAAAGACATCCCAAAGACTTACATCGGGACCCAGATAATCACATAGCGACATGTAGACTCTCATAGATGTATTCACTCACAAAGGGACTTGTAGACTCAATTAGGGACCTAAAAGCTCCCATATCGACCCTACTATATAGGCTCCCTTGGATAATCGTTGACTCTTATTGGGAGCGGCAGACTTATAAAAGCATGCACTCGCAGTTACTCATAGATGAACTTATATATGTATAAACTCACGTGGAGACTAACATAGTCACGGAGAACCATAGACTCACATCAAAGTCAACAGCTCCATGAAGATTATTGTATGCATTTCGAACTTCTTTCGCACCGCACGAAGCCAACCGTGCGAATCAGAGGTGCGGTGAAAGGACAACCGGGTAAACACAAAGAGCAGTTCTCAGGAAATGAGTTTTGACGACGACGAATCACGATGTTGATGGCCATGACGACAGCCCTGCTGATGCTGTTTCGGTCGCTGATGATGATAACGGCGATCATAATCACGATGATGAACGCATATCATGAGGACGATCACATTGACGACGATGATGAGGATTACAAAGGCCATTCTGAAATGGGGTTAACGTTATCCTTTCGTGCGCCGCGTCGCACACACGGGCGACTGCTGTTTGGAACAGCAACCATTGCTCTTAGTCACTGTGTGGGGGTGGGGGTTATCCATTCAGTTGCGTTGGCTGCGCGCACGTGGATGGCTGTTGAACAGCTGTTCGCCCGACTTCGTGGGCGATTGGCAGCTGTTGACCACGTGTCGTCCACTGATTGTTACGCTCCACATTCCTAGGTGCTGCGACTCTTCTTCTTTAAACTTCAACTTGTGCAGTGGAGGACTGGCAACACCTTGTTGTTTCTTGATTTAAAGCTTTCGTGACTGCAGGGATTCATATTCTTGGTTCTTTCGGTAAAGTCACGTAGAAGGGAAGTAATAAAATAATTATTATATAAAACAATATATATTTTTAACTACTTTATTATTTCCCTTCTACGTGACTTTACCGAAAGAACCAAGAATATGAAACCTTGTTGTTTGTTTTGTTTACCCGTGGAAGGGGAGCAGAGTGAGCGATGTAATGCGTGGTGGGGGAGACAATGGGGGAGGGGAGACAATGGGGGAGGGGAGACAATGGGGGAGGGGACAAAATGGGGGGGGAGACAATGGAGGGGAGAGGTAGACGAGACGACGAGAAGGAATGGCAGATGAGAGGCAAAGGGCGCCATGGTGGCACGATGTTGCGACCTCATCTGCTATGAAGGAGCTCGTGGGTTCGATCACGACCCTGACGCCTGCTGTATATTTGGAGTTGGCATGTTCTCCCCGTGGTCGCGTGGATTTTCATCTCGGTCCTCTATTTGTCCCCTCCACATTTAGAATCAAGATGCGGTTAGAGTATTTGGCCGGTATATATTTCCACATGATGAGCCCACTTCGATAAGCTATCATTTTGTGGCCAGGTTGATTATGTAAAAGAGTAATATAGCTCAGTGGTGCCCTACCTCGTAAAACAACAAAGTTATAATACTAAGGGATGGAGAAGGAGCGGAGGAACGGGAGAACGGTGGGTCAGAGGAGATGAGGACATGGAGATGAGAGAGGCTGCTTCACGGCCTCCCCGCTGCAGTGAGCGGTGTCTGTTTTCACGGTAGGTGGGGAGAGGGGAAGGGGTTCCGAGTGGGAGTGGCCAAGGACGTACGTCACGTGCTTGATTTTGAGGCTTGGTCTCATTTGGATGGAGATGTAATAGATGAGAGGGGAGGGATCGTGCGTGGTGGGTAGATGTCCACGAACGTAAGCCACGTGATTTACCGGAGGCTCGAGTTGATTTGGATGGCGATGTGAGGAAGACATCGTCGCTCGTGCCGTGAGGCCTGAATGCGATGGTTCACCGTGGCGCGGGGTTTATGGGGAAGTGAGAATCCCGGAAGGGGCTCAGTTTCCCACACCTCCGATAAGCACGGTTGGCTACGTACGGTACGAAAGAAGTTAAACGTACATACGCACACATACATCACTGATGATGGGATCTTTTTTTTTTTTGCAAAGCGAATTTCCCCATGTTTGTTGTTGGGTGAGGCCATGCAAGTAGCTGGATGTCAACATTAATGACGATAATTATGATTTGTGTGCGTTGAAGAAGGCCCATTACTCGAAACGTACTGCTGTGATTATATAATTTTCCCTATTGAGGCCACGCAGTATTGTTGACGAATGTGTAAAGTGATTTTTATCGGTTTTAAAGTTATTTTTGTTATTAATCATTGCACTGGCCACAAAGGCCTACGTTTTAAACTTGAAAAATCTCACCATGCAACCGTTCCTCACTTTTCCTCTACCACCCAATTCTCCCCCCCCCCTGTCAACCCCCCCGACCTTCCTTGCCCATTGCCCCCCCCCCCCCCACCTCTCTCCACCGCAGCTTACATTGATGACGACGAATTTGCGGAAGACTGTGCGCATGAGGAGGAGTCCGGAGAGGCGAGTGAAGATGATCCTCGGGTCCCGAGTCCTTCCCAAGGACTCGAGCAGCAGCAGGAGCAGCAGGAGCATGAACCTCTTGCACTCAGGGCGCTCACGCAGACGAGGGACAATCGATGCGGCAATGTCGACAGCAACGGGAACCACCACCTTGTCCAGGGCAGTGACGACGAGGGTGATAACAACAACGATGTTGACGACGACGATGACGGCGGTGGTGGTGGTGGTGGCGACGACGATGAAGGCATGAACAACCACAGCCACAACCACAACCACCACCACCACCATCACCACCGCAGCAGAAGCAGCAACAGCAGCAGCAGCAACAAGACAAAGAACGGCATCAGCAGCCAGATGAACAACAGCGGCAGCAGCAACAATGCCAACGGTGGCAACGGCAATGACATTGATGATGATGACGATGATGATGATGACGGTGGGGGTGAGATGGAGGAGGAGGCGGAGGAGGAAGAGGAGGAAATGGTCGACGACGATGGCGACGTTGACGATGATCGCGGGGTTGCGCTGGAGAAGGAAGCGACTGCAGCGGCGGCGGCTGACAGCGGTGTCGGGGCCCCCCCCGCCAAGTCGGCCCCCCATTTCTGCTTGGGCAGCAGCAGCAACGGGCAGACGGACTCGGACAAGGCGGGCAGGAGACGCGTGGCGAAACAAGAGGAGGAGGCGGCGGCGACGACGCCGACGAATGCGGACGAGGAGGAGGAGGAGGACAAGAAGAAAGACCCCGTGTCTCCGTCCGTGATCGAGGACAGCCTCTCGCAGATGAAAGCTGCCTATGCCAACTTCCTCTCGAGCTCCTATTGGTCCACAGTGGGGAGCTTCAGCTACGCTCAGCCCAACGGCGCCGGCGGCGGCGGGGGCGGCGGCGGCGCGGGCGCCAACTTCGACTGGCACCGCGCGGCTGTGGCCAAGAGCCTGCAGCAGGCGACGTCCCCCTCGACGCCGTCGCCGCTGTACGCTCACGACCAGCAGTGCGGCCTCTTCAGCTCCGTGCAGCTCTACCGCCAGAGCAGCAAGCTGTACAGCCCCGTGTTCACGGGCGCCAGCAAGTTCCGCTGCCGCGACTGCAGCGCCGCGTACGACCGCCTCGTCGACCTCACGGTGCACATGAGCGAGACGGGCCACTACCGCGACGAGAGCATGCGCGCGGCAAACGGAGGCGCCGACGGCTCGGGCAACCGGCAGGCGTGGTCCAAGCCGCGCAAGCGCTCGCTCATGGAGATCGAGGGCAAGGAGGAGGCGCAGAAGGTGCTCCGCTGCCTTTGCTGCGGCCACGCGTTCGAGTCGCTGCAGGACCTCAGCGTGCACATGATCCGCACCAAGCACTACCAGAAGGTGCCCCTGCGCGAGCCCATGGCGGCCCTCACCGCCAAGCCGTGCCATGCCACCAAGAAGCGGCCGCACCTCGAGACGACGGCGGTGGCGGCGGCGGTGGTGGCGGCGGGGGCCGAGCGCGCGTGCAGCTCTCCCGAGTCGACGGTGAGTGACGCGGCCACGACGCCACCAGCCGACCAGCTGTCGGGCAATCACAAGGGGCAGGTGGTGGGTTCCAACTGCCCTGCTCGCTCGTCCTCTACCACCGCCAACACCACCACCTCCTCCTCCCATCACCACCACCACCATCACCAGAACGGCACCAGCTACTCGTGGCAGTTCGAGTCGCAGAAAGCGCACATCCTCAAGTGCATGGAGTGCGGCAGCTCGCACGACACCCTGCAGCAGCTCACGGCTCACATGATGGCCACGGGCCACTTCATCAAGCTCACCGCGCCCGCCAACTCCTCCTCATCATCGTCGCTGCTGCTGGCGAGGAAGAGCAAGCAGGTGAACTTCGAGGCGCACGCGGCCGACGACAAGGTGCAGAGCGTGCACCTCGGAGCGACGAGCAAGCTCGGCGCCGTGCCTCCGCCGGCCGTCGCGGCGGTGAAGGTCGAGAGGCAGTCGGCGAGGGACGGTGATCGCCACGCGGGCGCCGAGGGCAAGAAGGCGAACGTCAAGGACAAGAAGAGCGAGCAACGGGAGAAGCGGGAGACGTCGGCGGCGGCTGAGAAGGGAGTGACGGCACCGTCGCCTGATTTGCCCAAGCACCAGGAGGCGGACCTGCCCTCCCAGTTTGACTACCTGAAGGAGGAGGACCTCTCCGAGAGCTCCAAGGAGGGAGGCCTGGACATCCTCAAGTCCCTGGAGCACACGGTGGCGTCCATCATCAGCAAGGCGCAGAACGGCAGCGGGAGCTGGGGCGGCTACCCGAGCATCCATGCCGCGTACCAGCTGCCAGGCCACGTGGCGCGGCCCGCGCACGCGCCGAGCGTCGCTCCAAGCAAGCTCGTCACGCGCGATGACCTCGAACTCCAGCAGCAGCAGCGGCAGCAGCATCGCCATCATCACCATCGGCAGCAGCCGTCGCCGCCACCGTCGCGCTCCCACGTGGAGTCGTCGTCGTCGTCGTCGCCTTCGTCGTCGGCGGCGACCACCCCGTCGCCGCCCGCGTCGCCGCACGGCGCCAAGGTGCCGCCGCTCGTGCCGTCGCCGCCCGTGCAGCCGCTGCCCAGCAACGTGCGCGCCATGGAGGAGCTCGTGCGCAAGATGACGGAGAAGGTGAACTCGTCCTCCGCCACCTCCTCGTCCTCCTCCCCCTTCTCCGCCGCGTCATCGTCGCGGATGACGAGGGACGCCTCGGAGTCGAAGGGCGCGCCGCCGAGGACCGCCGCCGCCATCGCCGGTGGGAAGCGCGAGGCCCGAGACGACAAAGGTCATGCCGCCGCGAGGGGCGCAGAGCTCTTCGGCGGCCGCGACGTCAAGTGGGACCTCGGCCAGGAGCTGCGGAGGAAGGCGAACCACGAGGCGAGGAGGGGGGCGGGCGCCAGGGACGCCCGCGACAGGCACGGGCGCGAGGCGCAGCGGCTTGGCGGTGGCGGCAGCGGCGGCAGCGGGGAGCGACTACGAGACGTGAAGGTGGAGAGGACCATCGAGGTTAAGAGCGAGGCGACGCGTGGAGCTTCTCCTCCGGCCGGCGTGGAGGCGAGCGCCGTGTGCTTGAAGGTGGAGGGCGCGCAGGGCGCAGGCCGCAGGGACGGAAGCTGCACGGCGGCGGCGACGGAGGTGGCGGTGGCAGCCACGGGTGGCGCGAACAAAACGTGCGAAGCCCGGAATGGCAAGAGCACGCATGAGAAGCCATTCTCCTCCTCTTCCTCCTCCTCCTCCTCCTGCACACCTCCCGGTTTCAGCAGCCTCTCCATCATCACGGAGCATCCGGGCGAGCCCTGCCTCGTGAACCCGCTGAGCGCGCTGCAGTCGGTCATGAATGCGCACCTCGGCAAAGCGGCCAAGCCTCTGTCGCCCGCGCTGCTCGACCCGCTGAGCAGGCTACACCGCCTCGGCGGCTCCTCCCTCGACAGACCTCGCTCAGCGGCGGCGACGGCCCTCCCTGCGTCGCTCGGGCATGCCCGGCACGCCGACGGGGCCGCGGGCGGGGACGAGCGCGCGCCGGCCTTCGCGGCCCGCGGGGAGCCATCGAGCGACCAGCCCATGGACCTGACCAAGTCCAAACCAGCGTCGGCGGCCGCGGAGCGGTGCCGCGCAGGCGGCAGCGTCACCGCGATGCCCCTGATGCTGGCGGCGTCGCCCGCCGGCGAGAATGCGCTCTCCGACATCTCGGACCTGGTGCGCAACCTCGCCGGGCGCCTCACGCCCAAGCCGCCCACCCCGTCGAGCGCCACGTCCAGCGTGGCGGCCTCCGACAGGTCCGACGGCGGCGACGCCTGCAGCGGAGGCGCCCCCGACGAGGACGCAGCCGAGGCCGAGCGGGGCCCCCCAGGCGGCGGGGCGGGGGGAGGCTCGGCCGCCTCCGCCGACGTTTCGGGAAAGCAGCGCAAGGCCGGCCGCCAATCGGCGTGGAACCCGCGCCACCTCCTCCTGCTGCAGGCGCAGTTCGCCGCGAGCCTCCGGCAGACCGCGGACGGCCGCTACGTCATCTCGGACCTCAGCCCGCAGGAGCGGCTGAACGTGGCGCGGGCCACGGGGCTGTCTGCGAGCACCATCAGCCACTGGCTGGCCAACGTCAAGTACCAGCTGCGGCGAACGGGCGGCACCAAGTTCCTCAAGCACATGGACACGGGGCGGCCCGTGTTCTACTGCTGCGACTGCGCCATGCAGTTCCGCACGCCGCCCGCCTACGTGGGTCACGCCGAGGCGCACCTGGGCTTCGGTTTGCGCGACCTCAGCAAGGTGGCCGTGGTGGAGAGGACGGGCGCGGAGGGATTGGCGGTGGGTTCGCAGCAGGCCGCGTCTCCGTCACCGCCGCCGCCATCGGTGGCGGCTGCGGCGGCGGCGGTGGTGGCGGTGGCAGCAACAGCAGCGGCGGCCGGGCCTCGTGACGAGCCCGAGTGCGGAGCGCCGTGCCGGTGCCAGCTGTGCGGGAGATCGTTCAGCAGCAGGCACGCGGTGAAGCTGCACCTCAGCAAGGCGCACTCCAAGTCCCCCGAGGACCACGTGATGTTTGTGAGCGACGTGGCTGCGGATCAGCCGGCGCCGCAACCGCAAGCTTAGGGCCTGGTAAGCAATGGCGATGATGACGATGGTGATGATGGCGAGGATGATGATGGTGAGGATGGTGGTGAGGATGATGGTGAGGATGATGATGCCGCCGCACACGGCGCAGATGAATGGGAGTGGGCGGTGAGGGGGTGATGAGTGGTGTCCACTGGTTGAGGAATCTGCAGTCTCGGGTGATGGTGGTGCGTGTGGCAGTGGATTGAGTTGAGAGACTGTGAACGCGATGGTTTTGGTGTCGCCGATGCATCCACGCACACACACGCGTGCGCGCGGGCTTTCTTTCATCTTCCGTACGGCTGCTTCTGATGTCGACGCAGAGCAGCGACTAGAATGTCACGTGCAGGTGGTCAAGCCCAGACAACCGCGACAGGAGCCGCAGAGTTGTACCGCTGTGATGTCTCCTTTGTGTTTGTGGAACGGGCATTGCAATATACGCATTTAGATTAAACATATACGCAGTAATTCCTCGATATACGAAGCAGATGCATTCCTGGAGCTTAGTATGCACATAGAAACGTCGTATACTGTATCGAATGACTTGTACTATTCGTACTATGTGGTTGTGTCCCAAGCCTTCGTAACTTACCGTGTCATGCTGTGAATAACGACAATTTATATTGAAAATAATATAATATTTTATATTGTACAGTGGGACCACTTCCGCCGATAAGACATCATCGGTGTGAGGGCCGCCACACATTTGAAACCACTGGGGGTTTGACAGCAGCACGACGACGACGATGATGATGATGACGATGAGGGGTGTTCTCACTCTTTGTGTACTGTCGGAGGCCGCACGTCACGCGGCAGCATTGAAGGCCACCAGCGGCCGTCCGTAGCCCACGGGGCCTTGAAATGAAGTCCATTGCCTTCATCGGTGCTCGATGACAGCTCCAACGCACGCACAGATACGTACCCGCTTTACTCCCTGCGGTGCCACTAAAAGTCAACGCGTTCATCAAAAACACTGCACTTGAAGGAACAAAACGTATCCTTATTGTAGGCGACGTTTCGAGAAATGGCCCTTTTTCATGGCACACATTATTGACATGGAACGTGTTGAATTTTTTTGCGTTTTTTTTTTCTGGACTGTGCTTGTGCGCCACTGCCAAACGCATCAGCATCAGCAACGTAATATGTTTAACAACAACACCAACACACAACAACAACAACAACGGATCATCACAGACGCGGCCAAACGTGGAGTCGAACTCAGAGCCGAATCTCACGGCTGCCGTCCCATCGCTCAGAGCTCGAAGCGTTCAGTGACTCCCTCCCCCACCCCCCACACTGTGAAGCTCGGACCTCTCCCTGCGCCACGAAACCGGTCCTTCTCTAGGTCGACTCAGCCTCAAACGAGTCCCTGGTGCGACGTGTGAACATCGCCGCTGGGGAGACAAAGGGGGTTCTACCCACTCACCCACCCACCCCCCTCGTGTACCGTGCCGGCCCTTCATAGGCGCTACTCGCTAACAGCACTTGCCCCAACAGTTTCTTAAGGCTATCGTGGTGGCGGGGGGCGGTGGGGATCTTTGTCTTTGTGCTGTGGAAGACCCACGCGGTTGATAGAAGCGCGCAATTGCACGTAAACACATTGCAGCCATTCATCACACATAGCCGCCGCCGCGCACAGCTCTGCTCCGTACACTCGTGAGTTGCTAGGACAATAAATGTGAGATCACATGGGCAATGTAAAATGCTCCTGCAGGCTGTAAAGCACTTATTTTCATATTGAATATTTTGTCCACGCCTATCATAAACAATTTAATACACATAACGCACGTGCTCTGTGTGTGTGTGTGTCTGTGTGCTCGCGCGTGTGTGCTCGTGTGTGTGTGTGTGGTGGGAGTTGGTGCTCGCTAACAACACTTGCCCCAACAGCCTGTTAAGGACCTACGCGGTATCGTTGTCTTTGTAGGGGAGGGGAGTAGTTAGGAGCGGTGGCGCAGTGGTTATCGCGCACTGAACTCGGTCCTGGGACTCCTCTAGGTCGTCTCAGCCTCAGATTAGCACCTGGTGCGGTGCGTCAACATCGCCACTGGGGATACAAAGGCGGTCGGGCGAGTTCTTGCGCCGGTGCTGAGTTCATCTCGAATTCGTCAACCGACGCATTGACCAGCGTGGTGAAGTATGGTCAAAAAAACAGCTAAAAATAACCATGACCGACAAAACAGCCTGTGGAGGCCTTCATCCAGCAGTGGATCGACAACGGGCCGCACATTGTTAATGATTACAATGTACGCACGTCAATAACATGCCAGTTAATAATGGGCGTGTATAATAACCACGATGGCAATGCCCCCCTTTGCTCACCAGGGAAGAATCTCCCGCAGTAGGGTCTCCCAACTCTTTTATCGAGAGTTTTGGGGCATCTCATGAGCAGTCAACTGGAGGAGCCGGAGTGAACCCCAGCGCCACGCACGCGTTGCACGAGAGGGGACAACACATTACAGCACTCAAAACTCCGCACAGACAGTATCCAAGAATCCTTCCCTGTACTGGCAACTCCACCGGGCCACCTTGCAAGCAGAGCGCGGGTGGTTTCCTCACATTATTAAACGCGCTGGTGGAGACAGGGGCTTGGGTTTTTTTTTTAAAGACATTCAATTCGATGATGGATCGTGTTTTATGAATGGAAGGTATAGCTTGGGTTGGGAGAGGGGGAAGGGAGAGATTTGGGGGGTGGGGGAGGGATGGGAGCCGGGGGGAGGGGCTGGGGGTTTTGGATTGTTGGGGGGAGGGGGATGGGGGGGGCAATCCGGCATCCGAAACAATACCGAGCGTGGCCAAACAAAAAAAAACACCGAGTGAGATGGAGAGAGAACGAATGAATGAATCGTCAGGTCTGCTCCTCCCCCCTAGCCACTCTTACCACTACCTATCTAATAAAGCCAAAGATCCCCCGTATAGCCTTCACATACTGTTGGGGCAAGTACTGTTAGCGATCACCTATAAATGCAGGCACAGCACGCAAGGAGGTAAGGGGGAGGGGTTGGCCAGCCTCACGCCCGGCCGCCTTTGTCTCCCCAGGACGATGTTTACACACCATACCAGGACCGGTTCAGATGATCCTATCTTATATTGATATCGTCCCCCCCATCTCACCCCCGCGATGGGGGGCGGGGGTCTCTGCGTGTAGATGGCACTAAGCAGATGCACGCGGTGGTCAAATTCAATTGACGAACGCAAGCGTGCAACAGAGACGAAACGCAGCAGACACAGAGGGCGCTTATCTTGTACGCCACCCACCTCGGCGGCGTGGGTGTGTGTGTGTCCGTCTGCGTGTCTGTCAGCTCGGGGAGCGGTAGTGTAGCGGCTAGCGCTTGCGCTGCGCTACGAACCTGGCGACCCGAGTTCGATTCCCGCTCACGGCCAACACCAGTGACGATTATCTGAAGCGCTCTTGGGCCTCCCCTAGCTCGACTCAGCCTCAAATGAGTACCCGGTGCGGTGTGTATACATCGCCACTAGTGAGACGAAGGCGGCCGGGCGTGATGCTGCCCACCCACCCCCTCGCGTGCCGTGCCGGCCTTCATGGGTGCTCGCTAACAGCACTTGCCCCAACAGTCTGTTCAGGCTATACGGTGGATCTTTGTCTGCGTGTCTGTCTCTCTGTCAGTCAGACAGCCTGTGATGCACGCAATGCACGGCGGTGAGTCAGGCGGACAGACAGAGAGATCGCCGTCTGTGTCACACGCAAAAAGACAAAGGTCCCCCGTCTAGCCTCACGACCACCCCCCCATCCCCCTTTATCGTGGGGGTCGCGCGGACGCACGCGCGCGCCCTGTCGCTGCTCTCCCCCACGGCTCCGTTCAAAACTCCGCTCCGCGTCTTCCGCAGCGAGAGAGACAAACGCGGCGCCCGTGGCGACCCAGGGCTGTTAACACCTTCCGCGGAGGAGAGGGGGCACAACGGGGGGTCCCTGACAGCTTTAACGAAGGGCCCCCCCCAGCCCCCCTCCCTCTCACCACCCCTCCTCCTCCCCGCCTTCCGACTCTCCCCGTCCGCTCTCTCGCCCGGATTAAATTTCACCCCCCCCCACCACCACCACCACCTATCCCCCCACTCCACCTCCCCCCACCTAACCGCCCCCCACCAACCACTACGCCTCTCCCACCCTCCCCAACCACAACACACGCGCGCCCATTACCGCTACACGGCGCCTATAAAAATAACAGCGTTGACGAACGTGCAATTCGTCTAATTTACGGGCGAAGCTTGCGGGGAAGATACAAAAGATGAAAATCTTAAATGCGAGGGACCTGCTCGGGCTGGCTCGGAGGAGGGAATCGATGCGTCGGGAGTGAGTTAATGAGCTACTGGGAGACGGAACGCGCTCCGCAGGGGAGCACGCACCCATGATAGAGATTTCGGAGCGAGGATAGTTTTGTTTTAGTGTATTGTCATGGTCGGATCCAGTTTTACAGCTGGCGGTGTGTGAGAGGAGGGGCGGGGTATGATGGGGGGGGGGGGGGGGGCGAGATTTATTTTGCTGAAATCTCTGCTATTATCTGGTCTGCACACGTCTCTGTATCTCTCTGTCTCTGTGAGTGCGGATGTTGAACTTTTTTCTGCGCCGCACGTTGACATCGGTGCGAATCGGAGGTGCGGGGGGAATGACTACAAACTAAACACTAAAAATCCGTTCTCTCTGTGAGGTCATCGACTCCTCTGTTCGTCATATCCACTGCTGGATTATAATTGTCCATATGTTAGCGGGTCTCTATATAAGTCCATGATGGGCTTCTCTCGCTCTCTCTATCTCTCTCGTTCTCTGTGAGTCACTCGTGACTGGTTGAGAAGAGCACACTCATTCAACAGCAAAATCCGTGTTTAAACTACGGTTGAATCCCGGATTCAAACCCGGTGCTCTTTCAGCTGTCGGGAGTGGTGACTCCGTGTCACTGCCGGATTAAGCTAGTGCGGGGCCTGTAGCATATGTTATAAAGGGGCCCTAAATTAGAAAAAGCACGTAAATATTAAAACACAATTTTTTTACTTGCATAGTAAAGTAATTGTATTTTGTTATTTGCTATACAGCCGGATAATACGACAAATCGCTCACCTTAAACACCCAGTCGTTCATAAAAGTTGAAGGCGGTGTAGTACTATAGTAATAGAGCAAGTGCAGAATCACAGAACCGGAATTTATAGCTTGAAAGCATTTAGCGCGGGGACCCTTGAAAGTGCGGGGCCGGTAGCTACTACACGTGCAGCTACTACACGTGCAGCTACTACACGTGCAGCTACTACACACGCAGCTACTACACGTGCAGCTACTACACACGCAGCTACTACACGTGCAGCTACTACACATGCAGCTACTACACACGCAGCTACTACACACGTAGCTACTACACACGCAGCTACTACACACGTACCTACTACACACGCAGCTACTACACACGCAGCTACTACACACGCAGCTACTACACGTGCAGCTACTACACGTGCAGCTACTACACGTGCAGCTACTACACACGCAGCTACTACACACGCAGCTACTACACGTGCAGCTACTACACACGCAGCTACTACACACGTAGCTACTACACACGCAGCTACTACACACGTACCTACTACACACGCAGCTACTACACACGCAGCTACTACACACGCAGCTACTACACACGTAGCTACTACTTATGTAGCTACTGTTGCTACTAGGATTACAATCCAGCGCTGCTCGGTGTATCCAATCATTGGCCGCCAAAGCCAGCCAGCCAGTCAGCGGCCTCTCCACGGCGACATTAAATGAAGCAAACATGACGCTCAAGTTGGTTGTGTGTTTAAGCAGGTGATTACTCAAGGGCCTCTTGTGCTGTTCGATTTTGGGGGTTGTTCTCTGGTCGAACACCGGTTGGTGAGACAAGGCCGTGGAGAAGGCTGCTGTTGCTCTGGTGTCGGCAAATCGGTTTCCAAGACAATGCATACACTTTTCGATTTAAAGCGTTCGTGACTGCAGGGATTCATATTCTTGGTTCTTTCGGTAAAGTCACGTAGAAGGGAAATATTAAAATAATAAAAATAAAACAATAAAATTCTCACGACGTTTCGATTGCAACACAAGCAATCATCAGCAGGTGTGAAAACCACAGCAATAACATTTAATTGTTTTATTTTTATTATTGTATTATTTCCCTTCTACGTGACTTTACCGAAAGAACCAAGACAATGCATACGCTATCAGAGCACCTCTGTTTGCAAGTTTGCCACAAGTACGTGCGGTTAATGCAGACGTGATTCCTTGCACAATGCATCTATTTAGGGTTTGAATATCTTTAACACGACTCCCGTTTTAGTACCAGAAATGGTAACCGCCTATACTTATAATTCTTGGGGTTTTTTCGGTAAAGTCACGTAGGTAAAAAATTTAAATTAATAAAAGTAAAATAAAAATAAAATAATATTTAAAAAATCTCTTTTATTAATTTTAGTTTTTTACCTACGTGACTTTACCGACAAAACCCAAGAATATGAATCCTTGCTGTCACGAAAGCTTCAAATCTAGAACCTA